GGCATTATGCTCCCAGTGAGATGCTCTGAGAAATATTGCCTACCCTAAGGTCCCCAAAATTTCTTTCAATATTTTCTTACAGAAACTTTGTAGTTTTAGATTTTATACTTAGAACCATGAGCCATTTCAGTTATGTGTGCATATGACTATGGATAAAGGTTTATGAGTAGTTTTTAAACATCGATCTGTAGTTGTTCCAAGACAATTAAAAGCAATAATAATCCTGTCTCTATTTTGGAAAATTTTGGCAACTGTGTCTTCAACTTTACCCTCTGCCCTCTACTTTCTTTTTCTTCTTTTAGGTCCAATGACACATATGTCTGTGAAACTGTTAGGTGTTGTCCCACAGCTCCCAAATGCCCCGTGCCTGTGTGCTTCCATTTAAATATTTGTATTCATGTATATATAAGTCAATGTATTCTTTCTTTCATTGTGTGAAGCCTATTTGGTGAGCTTACAAAACATTATTTTTTAAAATACCTGTTTAGGATCTTTTACATTTAAAAATTAATGGAACATTAGTAAAAATACAATGAAGGCAAGTTTTCTTTTAATTCTTATAAAAATACACAAACTATATTACTAAAATTATAAGACTTGCAAGGTGGACATAAAGATTTAAGAAAATGAAGAGAATTTTTCAATTTGTATTTCTAAAAAATTGAACATTCATTAAATATAAGTAAAAAATGCTTACTACCAAATCATTGGAAGTTTTACTAAATAAAAATATCAAAATGTTTATAAAGTTAAGCCCAGTTTGCTTAGTGGGGTTTCTAAACCATATCCTTCTGATGTGTCTGTCCTATGAAAGAGGTTTTGTACTAGAAAGGACAGAATCTCAATTCATAGCACCTGGCCTGGATCACCAAGGACTGAAGAGAACTCAGTTAAAAGTGCTCGATTAGGACTATAGTATTGGGCATATTCTCCCAGTGCGGTGGTCTATAAGAGTAATGTTATGCTTTTCCCCCAATGTCAGGTTGTCCCACCTGGTTTCCCCCATCACCAGTGTGGAATCACCTTCTCGGAGACATGTCTCCGCATTGTGGCAGTTTCATAATCCCCCGTCAACTTGCAAAGGGGCAGAGTCTAGTCTGTCAATCAGGTCGCAGCATGATGACCTCATTTGGAGGCACTATACAGATAAGCAGCTGACTAGAGGCCAGATAGACAAAGTCTCCCTGCAAGACATTCCTGATGACAAACCACATGGAGCCACACTGATAGAGCCAGAGCCCTGGCGTTGGAGCAGCCATGTAGAGACCCACACCAGCAATGAGATGCTTCCACCGCCATTGGATCTGCAAGACTTTCCACCACTGGCCTGTGGTCTTCCTGCATTTGGTGTCATTGCATGGCTGTATGAGTCTAAAGAGGAATTTATGGACACGTATTGACATGCAGGGTAACAGTGGACTTATGGAGTTGATTTGGACTGGGTTGGGATGTTTTCTTAATGCTTTTTGATATAAAGTTCTTTCTTACATATATATGAGTGTCTATAAATTTTTCTCTCGTCAAATAAGACTAACATACCCATCTCTAGATTTCCATTAAGGTTCCCTGAGCCCCCGTGCAGGAGCAAACTTCTGATGTGGGTTGTTGTGGAACAATGTTATCTGTCATAAGCTGATTGATCTTCTCCCTCCCCTACCATGAGAAACTGACCCCAGCTGATGTGAGGTTCTCTCTGTCAAAATGGTTTTTAAGATGTACAAAAAGGGGTTATGTATGGGGATGACATATGGACCATGAGGATTCGGCAGGCACACTGCCTCATTGCCTGGGGGACTGCTGAAGGCATTCTTTATCTCTATTCCAATGTGTTTTGCCTTCTTTGTAGAAACTGATGTTGCTAAAATTATCTGAGATTGCAAGGGACAAAACATAGCCAAAACGATATTTTAAAAGAACAAAAGAACAAAGTTGGAGGGATTGCATTCCAAATTTCAAAGGATACCATAAAGTAATCAAAACTCTCTCACTCACTGATATCTAGTCAATTCTGACTCACAGCAGCCCTACAGGACAGAGTAGAACTGCCCCTGTGGGTCTGCAGAGCTGTAAATATTTAAAGGCGCAGAAAACCTAATTTTTCTCCCATGGAGCCCCCCATGGGCTTAAATGCAGATCTTGAGGTTAGTCACCCAACATGTAATCCATTATACCACCAGCACTCCTCAAAACTATCTAGTGCTGGTGTAACGATAGACACAAAGCATAATGGAATAGAATATAAAAATAACAATAAATCCAGAAAGAAGACATACATCCATAGTCAATTGATTTCTGCCTACAGTGTTTAGTTCATACAATGGGAAAAGAATATTGTTATTGTTGTTATATGCCATCAAGCTGATTCCCACTCATAGCAAGCCCATGCACAACAAAGTGAAACACTGCCGGTCCTTCCCCGTCCTCACAAGGGTTATGTTTGAGCCCACTGTGGCAGCCCCTGTGGCAGTATCTTCAGTAAATGGTGGCCAATGGGATCTACAGCTGCAAAAGAATTAACTTGGACCCATACCGCTCAACAAATATGAAATTAAGCCTAGTCTGGAGCATAGTTTTCTGCTTTACATCACACTTTTTCTCACAGTGTCTTCTTTATGAATGCTGGGCTTATCCATTTTTGTTTGTTATGTCTGAATTAGTTGTTTTTTTGTGTATATGCTAGTCTTGGTGTGTGTGTGTGTGTGTGTGTGTGTGTGTGTGTGTTTGAGAGAGAGAGAGAAAGGGATGTTCTCTCATGGTTGTTTTCTAGTCTTTGTCCTTCAAAGCCTCCTGCTTTAAAATGTGCACTATTTTATTATAGAAATGGTTTGGCTATTAAGAATTGACACAGAATATTCCAAAGCCAACATTTATACTAAAGGATTTAGATGAAGAACTACTTAAAATACCCAATAGCCTCTGGGATCATGCTAATATAATTATTTTTATTGGTAGGTGTCATTGAGTCATCTCTGACAGTGCTTGGCTCTGCACCATCCTTACAATTGTCATTATATTTGAGCTAATATAATATTCTTAGAAAAATTGTTGGGTAGGCCATGCCATGAACAAGAAACTTATATAACTTAGTAAACTTAGTCTAACTTATCATTATACTCTATTTGTTTTTTTTTCAACATTTTTATTGACACACAATTTAAATATCATACAATTGTTCAGTCTATCAAGGGTACAACCAGCACCACATCTATCTTAGAGCATCCTCCCTGCCCCTCCTGGTTAAATTGCCTTAAAATGAGTTGTGGGATCAGGATCAGTTCTAGTACTCCTCCCCTCTTGCCTTTGCTATTTACTCCGAAATCCCCTTTCCCTCCCTATTGGCCAACACCCATCCATGCATTCTCATTTTGCTTTCAAGTTAAACCTAAGTATAAATTTCTCAAGAAGGCTTGGTAGTAGTATGGTTAAATGCTCAGCTGCTAAGCAAAAGGTTGGCAGTTTAAATGCCTCCCGTGGCTCCATGGGAGAAAGACCTGGTGATCAGCATTCATAAAGAAAACCTTAGGGGGCAGTACTACTCCAGCTATCCTCCAGGGTTCCAAAGAGTTGGAATTGACTCTTTAAATAAGTAAAACAGCATCTAACTCTAGCTCAATGCTATACTATAGGGTTTCATTTTCTTTCAGCCTTTCCATCTTCAACACACTTGATGATTAAAATTTTTTCCCTTTGTTTAATGATTGATTGTGTACAAGGGGGTACGGTACCCCTCCCCCCAAAATGGGAAAAAGCTCTGCCTAGCGGAGCTTTGGTAGTAGAATGCATCATTCCCAGTAATCGAGCACTGAGCAACTTGCTGAGTTAGCGCACCCAGTTGCATTCCCTGGGAAGGTTCTCTTTGGTCACAGTGAATTTTTTCATAAAAGCAGTTTTGCTCAAAACTCGTATTTTGTGATGGCTGATTTAAGAGAACAGCATGCGGCTGTGAAATTTCATTTGCTACTCTGGAAAAATGCTGCAGACACTGTAGTGATATTGAACACAGCTTTCAAGGACAGCGCTATGGGAAAAACTCAAGTGGATGAGTGGTGTTCTAATTGAAAACAAGGTGAAATGTCATTTGATGACAAACCTCATTGTGAAAGCCCATCAACTTCTCGAATGGATGAAAATGCCCACCTGTAGTGCTTTTGGAGTCCACTCCACCAGGTCAGACTGTTAATCAAGCTTTCTATTTAGAAGTTCTAAACAGATTGTGTAACCGTGTGCGATGGTGGAGGTGGGTGGGGGGAGGCTTCATTTATTGGCAGATGGGGGACTCATTTTGTCACCATGGCAATGCACCTGCTCATGCAGCCATCTCAGTGTGCCAATTTTAGGCAAAAAACCAGCATGCCTCTTTTGCTCCATATCTGACCTGACCTTGCTCCTTGCGACTTCTTTTTGTTTCTGCAAATGCAGAGGGACATGAAAGGACAGCAATTTTATGACATAAAAGAGGTGAAGAAAAAAATGACGTGCTGTCAGCCACCCAAATAGATGAATTTAAAAAATGTTTCCAAGAGTGGAATCACAGATTTGATAAATGTACTAAGTATAATGGAGCTTACTTTGAAGGTGATAGATTGTTTTGTAAAAAAAAAAAAATACATAGCTTTGAGGAAAAAAAATCTGTTTGGGGTGGGTACTCCCTTGTATACTGTGAGAAGCTCAATTAGCTCTAGAATATGCACTTAATAAGATTTGTTGTAAACACATACACATATTTATCTTAAACTAAAAATCTTCCAAATGTAGAAGATATGTATGACATGCCTTTTTTTCCTTTTGGCAATTCAGTTTCCTATAATTACAATGATTTATTTAATTTGGTTAAACTTTTTCAGAAGAAATCATTATTTTAAAACATAGACATTAACAGGGCAGCTTGTAAAGCAACATACTGACGTTCCTTCCTGTTTTAAAAAGAAAAAAACAAACCAGGCTGAATCTAAAGTTTTACGTGCCCCAAAATGACCATCAATTAAATGACATAATCATACCTGACATCCAAAGACAAATGGTATTTCCTAGATCTTCTTTAAATTCATCATTGAAGAGGTTGCTAGATTCTGGAAATGCTTCCTGAAATGTTGCATAGATAGCTTGTGCCAAACAATCAGGATACACCTACCAAAAATGGAATCGCCTTAGAATTGTTTTCTATTCTATGCAACACAATTCAGTGACCAGAAAAATGAAAGATTACTTATCATTTTAAAAATGTAATCATTTGACAAATGATTACTTATCAAAAGACATCAAAAACTGATTACTCAAAGTTTATAAAAGCCACATGCACCTCTTACAGCTTGATTCTGTTTGTTTTCTTGTTTCTCTAGCTCCATTTGAAAGATACAAGCAAAGAGATTGACAGACGAATCTTAAACTTAAATTTGATTATTTCAGTTTGCTAAATTTGCTAAATGTTTATTTCTTAGCATTTGGGAATACTTTATAATTTGGGTAAAGAATGAAGTTATAAATTAAGAAATGATTTTATTATTATCTACTAATTTCATTTAGATTTTTGATTCTTATTCCCTTTAAAAAGTAATATATATGGGCCGTTACAATTTAAGTGCATTTTTAACAATGAAAGCTTGCCTAGATGAATTATTGCACATATTATAATGCATATCATGTTATTTAAATATCAAAACCATGATCAGATATAAAAATTTTATGACACAGGCAATATATTACCCTTTAAATATATTATCATATGGTATTATTCTTATTTATGTTATCTTTAAAATATTTAAACTACTAAATTTCTCCTAGGAAGTGAGAAAGATATCAAAAATTTTTAGTCAAGTATTTTAGCAATTGATATGTCCTAAATTGTTACTCTGGATTCAGATAAATGTCTACAATCACATTCTAAGCTCTCACCAAGGTAAAGGGTTCTAATAACTGCAATCTGTGAATGCTACTTTATATGGCAAAAGGCACTTTGCAAATGTGATTAAATTAAATATTTTTCAACAAGAATGATTCTGTCTTATTTTGTGATCCCTGTAAAAGAGATCCTGTGGGAAATTTGACTACAGAAGAGAAGGCAATGTGATGACAGAAGCAGAAAGAAAGTGATGTGGCCAGAAGTCAAGAAATGCTGGCAGCACAAGAATCTGGAAGGGGCAAGAAAATATTCTCCATGGAGCCTCTTCAAGAAGAAATCAGCTTTGCTAACATCTTGATTTTTGTCCCATGAAATTTATTTTGGGGAACAACAA